TATAAAAAATAAACTACTACTTACTACTTGTACTACTATTCCTAAGTCACAGTTTTTCACTTATCGTGGGGCTTCAGGGTACAGATCCTCCATGACAAATGAGGGACTACTGTATCTGTATATTTGTTTTAGAATTAAATTTAATTAATTTAGTTTTAGTCTTCCTGAGCTGAGGGATTTTTTTTTCTGAATGAGGAACACAGCATGTAAAGTCTGAGAACCACTGGAGACCAGTTGTTTTTTTGTCAAGTCAAAAAGAACTCATTCCTCTTTGAACGTGTTTCAGTTTCCTGACCCAGTTTGTTTCTGTCAGTCAGTCTGATGATCTGAGGTGTTCTTAAATCTACCTTCCTTTCCTCTCCAGCATTCTCCTCGTACACGATGGCCTGCACCTCGTTCCTGTTCTTCATCAGCATCACAGACAGGTCCTTGTGGGGGAACTTCCCCACCGTGAAGGAAAAGTAGTAGGCCCCGGGGATTCGACAACGGAACAGACCGGCCTTGGCATCGAAATCCCCACCGATGTTGACGTAGACCGTGTCAAAGGTCACCGTCATCTTCGGTCCACCTTCCATGCTGCTGGTGCGTGCAGCTGAGAACGCTGAGCGCAGCTCTGCATTGTCCATCAGACGGGCCAGTCCATTTACACTTCCTGCGGTGCACAGGCACAGCAGGCCAATCAGCACGCTCGCTGGGAGAAACATCATATCTGCAGCAAAAAGAAGAGACGGAGATGAAGCGTTACATGTTCACCTTTGTACAGATTGTTCCCCTGACACTCACCGTTTGTTCATTAATTATTTAATGTATTAAATATTTATCATTTTCAACATAATTACAAAATTCATGTTACAGGTTAAGTTTGGAAATTTAAAAATCAATACTGGAGTTAAACTGGAGATTAATAATGTATTACTTGAGAGTGTTTGAAAATACATTTCTTGATGTAATTTTGGACCACAAGTTTTGTTGGAAACCCCGTATTAAACATGCGTGTAATAAAATGGCTAAAACCATAGGGATACTGGGAAAAACAAGACATATCATAAACATTAAATATTTTCACACTCTATTACACCCTGTTAATGCCATATTTTCACTATTGTGTTGAAGTTTGGGGTAACACAGCACATAAAAAGTTCTCTACAAAAAAAACCACACCATCCATCCATCCATCCATTTTCTTCCGCTTATCCGGGGTCGGGTCGCGGGGGTAGCAGCCTAAGTAGGGAGGCCCAGACTTCCCTCTCCCCAGCCACTTGGGCCAGCTCTTCCGGGGGAATCCCGAGGCGTTCCCAGGCCAGCCGAGAAACGTAGTCCCTCCAGCGTGTCCTGGGTCTTCCCCTGGGCCTCCTTCCGGTGGGACGTGTCCGGAACACCTCACCAGGGAGGCGTCCAGGAGGCATCCTAAACAGATGCCCAAGCCACCTCAACTGGCTCCTCTCGATGTGGAGAAGCAGCGGCTCTACTCCGAGTCCCTCCCGATGATCGAGCTTCTCACCCTGTCTCTAAGGGAGAGCCCAGACACCCTGCGGAGAAAACTCATTTCGGCCGCTTGTATCCGAGATCTCATTCTTTCGGTCACAACCCAAAGCTCGTGACCATAGATGAGGGTGGGAACGTAGATCGATCGGTAAATTGAGAGCTTCGCCTTTTGACTCAGCTCTCTCTTCACCACGACAGACCTGTACAGCGCCCGCTTCACTGCAGACGCTGCACCTATCCGCCTATCGATCTCACGCTCCATTTTTCCCTCATTCGTGAACAAGACCCCAAGATACTTGAACTCCTCCACTTGGGGTAGGACCTCCTCCCTGACCCAGAGAGGGCACTCTACCCTTTTCCGGCTCAAGACCATGGCCTCGGATTTGGAGGAACTGATCTTCATCATTCATCTTGATCTTCATTCAAAAAAACCACACATAATGCAAAATAGAGCAATAAGTTTGGTATCTTTTCACACCAGTCAAATTTTTTTAATCACAACTTATTCATTTTATGGATCTGGTACAATTTCAAACTGCACAGCTGATGTTCAAAGCTAGAAATAATATGCTTCCAAAGAATATTCCAAACCTATTTAAGAACAAAGAGGGAAGGTACGCACTGAGAGGAAACTGTAGAGCAACCCTGTGTTCGCAGCGCTCTTTAAAGCACGTGCACATCAGCTCGTGGAGTGATGTGGAATGACTTAGACCAAGAGATTAAGCAAAATAAAACTATTGCACACTTCACGTGAAAATAAAAGGATTACAAAATGAACGTGTATAAAAACGAATGAGACAAAATTACGTTATTCCAGCTGTTAATTTGTTAATCTGTGTGTTTGCATATTAATATTTGATCTGCAGGTGATGTGAGAGTAAATCTGTATCTGCAGGTGTATTGATGTATGTGTAGGTGTATGTAGTTATGCATGCGTGTCTGCGTGTAGTTATATATGCATGTATGGGTGTTTATGTATTTATGCATATATTGAAGCAATAGTTTGTTCAGAATTTGTCTGTAAACTCAGAGACAGGACTGGATGAGCCTTGGCCTCTTCCTACTCCCTTTTCAAACATTTTTGTTTTATTTCCAGAATATTTTTGTGGAAATATTCATGTTTTTAATTGTTTTGTTGAAATTTTAACTGTTCAAAATTAAATAAAAAATAAAGTAAAATAAAAAAAGTTTAAATCCTGAACCCACCAGTCGTTCCACCAGTGTTGTGTTTGGGTTCTGGGTTTTTCCACATCAGAATACATTTTTTAATTGTATTTTGCTGCAAAAGCTTTTGTTGATGGTGGTTTAAAACAGATAATATATCTGTGCCCCCCCATACACACACACACACACACCCAACACTCACTTATTGATTCATCTTAAATTGTGGAGTTGACGTTTACCACAACAAGAAACCAGTTAGTAACAAGAAAATTTGGGAGACCTGTTTGTTTTTCCATGTTTCTTCTCCTAATGTACCTGCAGGGTACACTTAATGAATCTCATGCTTCAGACCTTCCTGCTGCCTTACGCCTGCTAAATCATTTTGTTGTTCATTGATTGTAACATTTATAAGAAGGTTTTAGCCATTTCCACAGAATAAAATCCATTATGTCATTTCATGCGTCACTGCTCAGATGTTCTCATTACAGATCAACAAATCTGTATTTAAATCACAGCACATTTTGTTAAAACCTTTTCATGTTTTTTCTGCTGTTGTTTTTTTTTTTTTTCTTTCAGATTATTGTTGAGAGAAATATTCATGGATTAGTGCTGATTTTGAAGTGAGAACTGAACAGGTCAAACAGACAGAAACTGTCGGGGGTCAAAATGGCCAAACAGTCACATAAAACAAAACAACCATGAAAAAAACAGTACAAAACCGTCCCCACGAGCACTGGTTCCCAAGCTGCGCTCTGAACACCAAGTTTGGGTCCAGAGATGATCTATCGCAAATGGAGCCACAACAAACTCAGTCCCACAAGCAGCACACTCACATAGTGGTCCATTCGCATTCAACACTTGCTCTTGTCAAGGGCGGACGTCTTCTCCTCCTCTCCCTCTCCACTTGGCTCTGTCTGTCTGTGAAACTGCTTAGAGCCTCTCTTCTACAAATCTTCCAAATCATAATTTATGGATTTGGATTTGATCAGTTGGTTCCTCAACCCAATTGATAACATTTCTTCAAAGACAAGCTTTAGGCGAGCTGATTTGCCCTGTTGGCACGCATGCAGCTGGATATCTCATAGACTTGGAAGACTTGGTGACGTGTCTATCTCTGCTGTCATGGATGGATTTTAAGGATGCATCTATAATTGGATTTATGATAACTGGTTCCTGCTTTTTGGATTCAGCTGGTTCCTGGGCTATCAACATTCAAGGAAGTCGTTGGCAGCAAATTTGGACCTGATTAGGCTGCTTGCCTTATGATGGCTTGGTTCGTGCCTCGAGCACCCAGACTCAAATGCTTTTGGCAGAATGGATCGGATCTCAGAGATAATTCTCAGGCACGGTCCATTGGTGTAGACATTTAATTTGGACATTTCGGAACCAAGTGGACCGACACAGACTCAAGGTAGATGTCATTAAAGTTCTGCTTGTCCCCAAAACAATCGTGTTTATCTGAATTCAGCTCCCTGACTGGCCTTGACAGGCCACCTTATCTCAACCCGCCTGTAAGTTTTATAAATATGAAGCTCTGCTCCTCCCTTCCCTCCTACCAAGGAATTCCATGGACTTTTCAGAGGAGCCCAGCTATTCAGCTGCTTATTCAAACATTCTGTCATCATTTCAGGATTCTCTGGATTCATCCTTGGTCGTCCTCGACACCCCCCTGAGAGTGTACGGATCTCTCCAGAGGGAACTATTTGAACTGAGCGATCTTATCTGAACTCTGCAGTGCCTCTGTGTGTTGTCTCTGGATATGCTCACTATCCTTGCGCCCCCCCCCCCCCCCCCCCCTTCCTTGTGGACTGTCATTATGTGCTTATGCGTAAGATTTCTTTTTCATGATCACACTGTTGACCTTCAAACAAAGATTAAAAGCATGTTAGGATTTTTTTTTTGTCTCCAAACCCTGTCATTTTTCACCACTTTTTATTGTATGTCCAAACAGGTCTCACTTGTAAATGAGTCTTTGAGACTCAATGTGACTTATCTGTTTAAATAAAGGTTGAATTGAATTGAAAAATCCAGTTTCATTGTGACAAGATGATTTCTGGAGTCTGCTCTCTCCCCCATCGACTCTGAGGAAGCAACCTTTTAAGCGTTGTTCGACCTTGTAAACACTAAGCATTTGTAAACCTATTTATTTAGCATATAATGTTGTACTTTACCACTGCATTATAAGTATCTACAACTAATATTACTGTACATCCTAAAAGAAATAGGTTTACGAATGCTTATTGTGCCCACAAGGTAGTAACTTAGTCTGAAATATTTAACATAACAAGTCTTGAGAGGAAATATATAGGTGAACACATTTGGCTCACTATATGGCAAGAAACTGGTCAGTTCTGTCTCTGTCACCCTTAATTAATGCATAATAAACAAGTATCAATGATTTATGAATTGTTTATAGAGGAATTAATAATGTATCTATAAACTATTTATTAGCCATCTATAAGGGGATCCTTATTGTACAGTGGTACCAACATTTTTATTCTTCACATAAAATCTAATAAACTAAAAGATGGACAAAGGTAAATGGCTGATTTTTCCTCAAAAGTCAATACAAGGGTTAACCTCAGACAAGACTGAATTTTTTGGGTTTTGGACCTGAGCACCTTAGCAACAAAATGCATGTTTCACCACAAGCAGCAAGGTTAAACAAAAATCAACATCTAAAAACAATTACCTGAAATATTTTTATATTTGCATGCCACCTCCACATGGGCCCCACAATCTAGGAGGAGGACCGTCAGGAAGGAGTATCATGCAAGTCATGCAGCAGGCAAGGGAGGGTTCCTGGCCATGCCAATTTCTGGTGTCATAAACTAGTTCTAGGAACATGGAATGCCACCTGTGGTTAGTAAGGAGCCCGAGATTGTGTGTGAGGCTGTGATACCAACTAGATATAGGTAGGTTTACCTCAACTACGTGGGCTCTAGAACCTAATTCCAAAAGACTAGACCTTTTCCTACTCTGGAGTTGTCCAGGGAGAAAGGCCTTTGGCGAGTGTGGAAATACTCACAACCCCCCAGAAGAAAACCTCTTTGTTGGAGT